AGTGTTGGTCTACTGAAAGTTATACCTCGAGTTCTACCTCGAGTTCCACTAACGTAGACACTTTGGAACTAAACTAGTTCTTATATACAAGTGTGCACTCCACACCTACTAACTTGTATTAGATCATAGTTCTAATTCCCATTGGCACTCATGTCATTTCCAATTACACAAAACGGCCGGTGACACTAAAATCACCAACAATTTTCATGTTATAGATGTATTACTTTTAATGTTTGATGATTAAATTATAATTTAAGAGTGATAATGGTTTTCTAAAATATAATTGAGAATCTTTAATTGGGACTTCCAAAAAAAGAAAGTGAGAACATTGGGCATGGACGGAAGAAGTAACAAACTATACAATATAATCAATGTAATTCATTCTCCAAAAAGAAATCAATGTAATTCATAAACGTGTTAAACTTTCTTATGAAAGTAGTTCATAAGACGCATATATAATTCATTTCAGATTCAGTATAACGATTGAGAGCATAAAGTATATAAAGTTATTGTTTTCCTTATCATGTGTGTAATTATGATAAAATGTAAAAGGCTAAATATGTATTCATTTTTGCGTTAATAAAACACATGAATCCTGATAAAGTTAACGTTTTTGTTTTCCATATTACTTAAATTGAGCATAACATACATTTTGATTTGATTTAATAGGAGCTCCCTTCACATGTCAAACAATTTGGGTCCCTCGGTGTTGCATCAATAACAACAAATTGATTATAATATGTTATTGTTGCACACATTTATTATCTTTAACATACTTTGTTTACCCCTTCTCTTGCGTATGTACATAACAAATATATGATTTGTACAAATATTTTGCATAATAATTCACATTGGGCAATTACTCAATCGCGCAACGCGCGTAATAAAAACTAGTTAATTTAATAAATCGTTTGCCATCAGGCTTTCAATGTTAACATGTGAATAATCTAGATCAATAAGACTATCACACAGAGAAGCCCCTTTATCAAGAGTATTGTTTTTTCATTATTTAGCAAATTCAACATCTTGAGCCAAAACTTCATCAATTTCAGCAGAATCAGTTGATTCAGCCAGTTTCAGTGTTACCTAATGTTCTAAAAATCGCTTTAAAGGCCGACTAGTCCTTGCATAGGCGCTAAACGGAGGTCGGGCACCCCAATTTTAGTCTAGGAGTTTGACTAATTGATTTGGTGCCTAAATAAATTAATCGGTTGCCTAGGACACATCGTTATCTACCCAGAGTGTACATTAAGATACTAACTATACATGTTTGTATGTACTCTTAAACGTTATTATTAGTTAATAATTTAATATTTATTTGATAATGAAGTTAAGTGTGTAGTTATAACATACTACGTATTATTAAATGTGACAATTATATTGTTCATGGGTGTTAATATGTCTATATGTTTTTATACACACACAAACACAATATTATTTATCATATTTATACAAAAACATTGATAAAACCATTTATATGTCCGACTAGCGCTTAGCGCCTTTTAGAACATTGGTGTTACCAAACAGGCTTAAGATGAAAAATACTGATAGAGAATGTGAATTATTTTTAGTTAAGAAGGTTGAACAAAATGAATGTCAAATTAATCATAATCAATTTATAAATTCATATTTGTTAAATGATTGTTATACACCATATATTACGTAATATGTTTTTATACTTTAGTCCATATATTAGTTTAAGATGAATTTTATTAGGAAATCTGTCAAATTATGTACGGTATATTTTTCTTTTTTTGTTGTCGGAAAAATATGAAAGTGTTTCTCAATTAAGTTCCACCGACATTTTAATTTTTCACTTTGTCATTTGATCTATCATTTCACTTCGAGTTTTTTATAGATTCATATTACTTTGTGGATGTTAAAATTGTAAAACAATCAATTCATATCTTTTCCCGCTTCAAATTCCATTAAATCTTATATTATTATTTTCGGATAAAATATAAATATATATATATATATATACACATATATCCAAAAGTAACAAATTACAGTGTATCATCAAAACTATCTAAGCTAGCTATACTAATTAAATAATATCTAACCAATCAATCCCCCCCCCCCTCACCTCCACACTCCCTCCCCCTAACTGGAAGGGAGCACGGAAAGAGGATTTTATGGAGCACCAAAGGTCCAAACAATATCAAAACTAGCACGGGACATGCTCCGACTTAGTGTCCAAAAATGATAGTCCATCAAAACAATTCAATGAAGTCCAATCAAGGAAATCAAATACACATTCTGACCAAACCATTATCGGCCAGTAGGTGTTAGCTAGTCAGCATCAGCAAAAGAGGTCCTAGTCTAGGCCAATAAAGGCCCATTGCAGGGCCCAAATCAGAGACAAATACGCGTCCAGAGCAGTGGCCCACCGCAGCGACCAAAGACCTCCGGAGCGCTACAGCATGTCGGTAGTTGAAGAATAGAGGCTGCTTGAAGATCTGCAAACCTGTTGCTGCCACAAAGAACGCCACCCACCTTCAGGTTGCAGATCTCGGTCTTCATTTTTTTTATCCCGGAAGGCAAACCACCAAAATCAGTGGGGCAAATGCCGGGAGTCAGATGCCGTTATTTTATTAATATATAGAAGAGTACAACAGAGAGGGGGACCAGACCAAACCTCCCTCAGAGGCATACCTCTGAAAAGTCATCAAGACAATATAAAGCGAAACTTTTGGATCAAAACCTGACCCAAAACAGACAGACCAAGTCAAAACAAAAATTACAAGAATAAAAAACGAAGTGATGGAATGCCAAAGAGGTCCATGTAATAAGCCCTGCGGGCTCTAATTGGCAAAGAATTAGGCCCGTCAAACCTTTTAGCCATGCCCGTATGTTCACCAGCTAGATAATGGGCCAGAGAGTTACCATCACGTAGAGTGTGTCCGAAGTCCACCCCTGTTCCTGCAAGAAGTCTACTTTCCTGAATAAGACCATCCCATATGCGCACTTCATTCGATTTCAACATCTGAATCACCAAGCTAGAATCGGATTCCACCTGTATGTCAACAAAACCTTCTTCCTTCCCCCACTTCAACGCAACCACCATCGCTCTGAGTTCAGCTTCTAGTGGCGATGAAGCTTCCACCGGGAAGCTAATCGCAGCAATCATCTCTCCTTTACAGTTTCTGACGACCGCCCCTCCTGCCGCTTCGCAAGATAAGTACTTAGCATCTACATTCATTTTCCAGCGTGTTTTAGGTTTACACCATTTGATGATTTTAAATCTCGATCTGCATTTTTCAAGGATAAAACCTTAAGAAGTGATCCCCTCATGTGTTACTAACCGTCCATCGATTGGTATCAGAGCTCGGTCTTCATTTTTCAAGGATAAAGCCTTAAGAAGTTATCCGGGAATATGAACATGGTTGAACATCTCGAAGAAGGTTACTTTACCCAACAACCCCCACTGTTCAATGAAAAGTACTATCAATTTTGGAAGAGTCAAATGGAGAATTTTATCAAGGCAGATAACTATCAAGTATGGAATGTTATTGAAGAAATTGATAATGTAATCACAAAGGTCTCTGAAGAAGGTACAACTGTTTCTAAACCTAAATCTGAATATACTACAGATGATTATCAAAAACTCGAGCATTATGTCCAGGCTCTTAAATATTTGATTTGTGGACTTGGTCCTGCATAACACAATCGGGTTCTAGGATGCGCAAAACAAACGTGAGATTTGCTTGAAGTTACCCATGAAGTACTTCCCGTGTAAAAAGATCCAAAATTGACACATTTATGCGGAATTATAAACTTTTCATAATGAAGCCTAAAGAGTCAATTAGGGATACGATTACACGGTTTACTAATATCATAAATGATCTTTCAGTCCTTGGAAAGGATATATCTATTGAAGATCAAGTGATGAAAGTAATGATAAGTCTACCCTCTACATGGAAGCCTAAAACTACGACAATCAAAGAGGCCAAGGATTTGTCAACTCTAACTCTGGAGGACTTGACGGTTTCACTCATGACATATGAGTTAGGACTTCAAGAGGAACATGATGCTGAAAATGTGAGAAGAGAGAGGAAGTACTCTAAAGGCACATGGAGGGGGAGGGGGGAGCAGGAGGAGAAGCAGGAGCAGAAGGAGAAGGAGAAGAAGGAGAAGGAGAAGGAGAAGGAGGAGGAGGAGGAGGAGGAGGAGGAGCAGGAGCAGGAGAAGAAGAAGAAGAAGAAGAAGAAGAAGAAGAAGAAGAAGAAGAAGAAGAAGAAGAAGAGGAAGAGGAAGAGGAAGAGGAAGAGGAAGAGGAAGAGGAAGAGGAAGAGGAAGAGGAAGAGGAAGAGGAAGAGGAAGAGGAAGAGGAAGAGGAAGAGGAAGAGGAAGAGGAAGAGGAAGAGGAAGAGGAAGAGGAAGAGGAAGAGGAGGAGGAGGAGGAGGAGGAGGAGGAGGAGGACGAGGAGGAGGAGGAGGAAGAGGAAGAGGAAGAAGAAGAAGCAAAAGAAGAAGTTTGCTAAGCAGTTCGAAAAATGTACGGACGCTTCAAAAGCAACATGAAATAACAAGGTAAAAAGAACACTCAATTCTTTAATAATCAAGGTTGTTTTGTTTGTGGATCATTGATAAGTCTAATTTGCTCATATATTTTCACTCACTTTTTATAGTGTTTCTTGTCAAACTCAGGGCAAATTGTTACATTTTTCTACGTTTTTGTTTCATTTTTGTTAATGTTTGAAATTAGTGTTGAAGTATATGTTTTTTTAGTAATTTGTGATTTATTGAAGTGTTTGGATTGTTTTTTTTTTTGAGTTTTTCTTTTACTTATTTGTGTTACTTGTATTTTGTGATTTATCAAATTTTAGAATTTTATACATATTATATTTCAATGTTTTTTTAACAATAAACCAATGATGTTAAGAAAAAAAATGAGAAATCAAAAAAATGCAGCAAGGCTGCGTGACAAAAAAAGAAAGGCAAACAAGAATAAAAAAATAAGTGGAGTACAAGGAGTCAACAAAATAAAGGAGAAGGGTGGGGAGTCCTATCTTTGGCCCAAGAGAGAATAGATGGGCAGCTGGTTGTCTACTTAATAGCCAAAGAAATAAACAGGGGAAGACACTCCTACTTGTCGACAGTAGGAAAGAAAACTCCAGCAAATAAGCTGCAATCATTCAGCCACATATTATTTGCCAGCTACAATTCACACCTGTAGCATAGAGCAGGTCACAATTCCAGAAGAGGAGCAAAAGAGGTCTTGAAAGAAAAGGCAAAAAATGTAGATCCAAGAGTGCATATGAAGGAGCTAGCAGAGAAAGAAATACGCACACAGGAGAAGAAGCTCAACAATAGTCAATAGCAATTTCGGTTTACTCTTTATCATCTTTGAATTTCGATTCTTAAAGCTTTATGTTTGACTTCAGTTCTTAAAGCAGCTCTCATCTTTGAATTTCGAATTCCAGTTTAAATTCTTATGCATGGATTATGTCACTGTTTTTCAGTATTTGTGTTAATTTCTTGATATTGATGTTAGGCTAAATTTCCATGGGGTTTGGATTTGGTTAAATTAAGGTTAATGGGTGTTCTTGAATATTGAATTGAATTTGAGAAAAGTCTCCAATTGTTAGGACTAATTGTTTGAGATTAAATTGAAAGAGTAATTTGTGAATTTGATCGCTTCACTTGTGAATTTTTGGAAGGTTAATTCTCTCTTGTCTATGAGTTTGGAATTAATTTAGCTCAAATCTCACACACCCTAATTAAGCCTAGAAATAGGTCATTTTAGGGGATTAAAATTAATTTCTTCTCTATGAGAATTAATATATCACTATCCTTAGAATGATGAAAATTTTCCCTATTCGTTCATAATCATAGACACCCAAGACCTTGATTCCAAATTTAAACCCCACTTTTAACTAGTTAATTAAGTGTTACTAGTCACATTGAATTTACCTTTTAGTATTTTATTTTCGAAACTTTACTCATCCACATGTTTGCTAGTTTAATATTTTAATTAGTTAAATTTCTCTCTCAATTTATTTTGCATGTTCACTAGTTTTAGTTTACTCAATAATGCCATTTAATTAAATTCGCAGTTATTACCTTTATTGTTTATTTTTATTTGGTTAATCATTATCACAATCTAATCGTTTGAGAAAGTTTGCAATGACTCATACTAACCGGTGACCGATATTGAAACCAACACTTCCCTCCGCCACTCCTCAGAGACACGATACTCGGGGATAAACTTTTCCATCCGGAAAGGTTAAACTTCGTTTTACTACAACGCCGCGAAAGCGGGTTATCAATCATTTGAGCACAGGGCAAAAGATTATCCATAAAAGAATAACGACAGAACTCATGATAGGAACAACACCAGTTCTACCTGGCGCTTCAATGAGGACAAAGGGTTCAACAAAGATCTGAAGAAAGCAATGATGAACGCATGGGGAGACTCATCTGATGATGATGAAAACAAAAGCGATAAGATAGTTAATCAGGCTGGGATGTGTCTCATGGCTAACTCCGACGGGGGAATCCGACCAAGATAACTTTATTTTGAGATGAGTTTAGAAAAATTTCTTTCTGAATTTGACTCTTTACCCAAAACTAAGATTTAGAAAATTTTCAAAAGGTTGACTATCGAGCTTAATCAAAATCTTTCTGAAAATGGTCATCTTAAATCACAAATCACTGAACTTAAATCTAAACTCGAGAAGACCACACGAGCCAAGCTAAGGATTGAGACTAAAGTGAGAGAGTTAATAGATGAGAGGCGTAAATACAGTGAAGTGGTTGTGGAACAAGATGATATTATTAGTTCATGAAAGCTCGACAGCATGAACAATAAACTTGAACATGGAGAAAAGCTTCATTTAAAAATTCCGAATCTTGATTTGTTAATTTCCAAAATCGATTGTATTGAGTCCGAGAGACGGTATTTTAAAAACAAAAATCCAGACACCTAGTTTCAGTATTACAGTATGTTAGAACATTATTTATTTTGTTCAAATTAATTCTAATCATCTTTGATTAATTAGTCTTAGTATTAGCAGACTTTTAGTTGAGTGAGAAATAATCTTTTTATTTGTTTAATCCCACACGCACGCACACCTCATTTGTTCCTAATTGTAATAGGATTCTCGACTTCTCTCCTATAAATACAGGCAGAGATGGTCCAAACAAAAAAAAGATGGTTCCGCACTTATTATTCTCGTAGAGCACCTCTATAATTCTCTTCTCAATAGTTCATCCGTGTCGTATGCATTATTATCATATCATTATGAATATACGGTATTGATTGTTGATGAATTATTCTTCTTCTACTTCTCAATTTCTCCATATTATTGTTTATTAGTTAATCGACCGTTGATATGGGATCATCCAACAATTGGTACAAGAGTCTCGGTGCAATGCTGTTTGTTCAAATCTGAGAAATTTTATGGAATTAATTTGATCACAATCACAAGTTTTGATTGAATTATTTCTGAATTTGTTCTTGGTATTTTTGTTTAATTGCTGATGTGGCGGTTGTGAAGAAAGAAGAAAAGATGAGGGAAGTGTACCCTAGTTACTCAAGAAGAGGATTTCGCTTTGCCAACTTCCATAATTTCTTTAGCAGATTTCAAGCATAAACTTTTTGGATGCTATAGTAGAAGTCTTCACCTGAGAAGTTGACGATGACCCATCTGGCGGTGAAAGTTTCATCTTCGTCGTCATGTCTTTCGCCTTTACATCTCGTAACAGTCTATCGTCACCGGCCATCTTCTCCATTCACACGTAAATTCATCCTTGTCGTCTTCTTCTTAACCAATTGAGGCTCCTATAAATAATTGATAAATCGATGAATAGGTTACATAGTCCAATTGATCTTCTTCTTCCCTCTGTTTTGGTGTTTAGGGTTTGTAGCGATGGATACTGGAGGAGACGGTGGTGATTGTTTAGGGTTATGGAGTGAGATGCGGCGATACCAAGGGTGGAGAGAGGGTCTGTGGATGCTAGGTAGGGGGTTGGCGAGCCTACAGAGGGGGATAGGGCGGAAAACATTGGTTATTGGTGACTCATCGGCAGAGTCACTGTTGCAGTGGGGTCACTGTGAATGGTGATTACTACATGCAATGGTCACTCCATACGTGAGATAATGGTAGATCAGTTATCGGCGGCGTAGTCACCGTAAGTAGGTCACTGGTGTAAGATAGTTTGCACAATAGTAGTGCTTCAGAATTTTTCATAGACAATTGACACCCCAAATGTGTTATAGACTTATGGGATATGTAATTTGTCTAGAATCAAAGATTGTGTAAAATTTATTGAGAAATGCATACACCTAGTTTTCAAAATTAAAGCACACCCCCAGTCTTGATTAGTACTAGTTTTCACAATTAAACTAGCTTGATAGTCAAAAGCAGGCAACACATATCACAAAATTAAAAGTAAAAAATATAACAAATCGGATTTTGAAGTAATCCAACCAAATACTTACCCTAGATTACAATGTTTAGATGCGTGACTAAGATATTTCAATTGAAAAGATGGTTTCGATTTTGAAGTGTCATCCATCAGTTTGCACCAGTACTGTGACACCCCAAAAATTTAAATATATATATATATATATATATATATATATATATATATATATATATATATATAAATTATATCAGCCAGATAAAATGTTACGAAAGTGACATTTTAATAGTTAAGTGAATCAGATAAAATGTTAACATCGGTGACATTTTAATCAGATAAAATTGTTTTAATAATAAAAGTGACATTTTTATAATAAATATATTGACCAGACTGGACTTTGACTTAAATAGCAAAAAATGACATTTTCGTTACAAGTGATAATAATATGTATGGTATAAATAATAAAAGTGACATTTTAACAATTTTAATTAAAGATATCAGTTAATAAAAATTGGTATAGAAATAGCAAAGTTGACTTTTGAACCTAACGATAATAATATATGTACATTATCATACTTACTGAGTTACTCGCACGGTACGAGAACACTCAGCTCATAGGTGACCTACCTTCTTATTAACACTCCCATGTGAATGTCATATGCCACATACACCATACGTGTTCATGCATCACATATTCACATGTCCTTGTCCTCTACGTGCAACGGTGTTGCCCTCCTAATCATACATGCACCGAATGTAAATATAAATAATTAAATATATAGTACTTCGTACTATGGAATTCTAATACATATAATATAGACGAACAATACAATACATCAGACATAAAAACAAACGTACTCTGACATAAGGTTATAATACATGTGATAAGGGTATATATCGGCTAAGGGTATATAAATCCCTACTTACTGGAATTATACACATATACTTCACCTTATATACGCCATCTCAACTCTGCCAAACAAACAAAATACTCCATAGCGTACCGTTGTAGAATTGAACGGCCGAACCTCCGTTGTGGGCACCGGCGAACGAAGGCCACCGATGGGAGTCACCGGACTATGTCGCTAGGTCTCTGTGAACCGCTGAGGAAGTTCTGATCTTGCCGCCAGACCTCTACGCCGGGTCACTAATTCGCCGACTGCTGTGTTCTTGCAACAAGGGAGGGAGAGCTGCAGCTGATCGCTCGCATTGACCAGGCATATAATCTGTTACGGAGCAGTTTCACCGTCGCTATAGAAAGGTGTCTCGCCGGACTTTAATCATCGGACACCATTAACGCCGGAGAGACAGAGTCGCCAGGTTGCAAAGCTCCCGGGCCTGAGGGTCTTTCACGCCGGAGAGAAGGGACTTCTGGAAGTTCCCCTTCGCCATATCGGCGCTGGACATCCATCCTTCGGGAACTGCTTAATCACCGGACCACCTGCGCCCGTCGGCTGCATTCAGACGAAGTATGTTACGCTCCACAGCTCTGTTTTCTTTTGTTACTACTGGGCCATTTATATTTCATAAACTGAACTGGGCTGACTAAAATGCTGAGCCGTATAGTTGATTAAGAATTTAAGGAAAAAAATGGCTGGAATTAGAAATCTTAATCTGACCGAAAAACAAGGTAATGGCCTAATCTACCTAATTATAAATTTGCTAGGTGGACTAATGGGAGTGTCTTTTCAGACGGCATGAAATCAAATCAAATTTTGTGTTAAAAACACTAATCAAATACGGAGTACATCTTAGAATATCGATTCACAAATAATACAAGAGACTAAAATAGTTATTAACTATAGAATTTTAATATTCTTAGAAGGTGAATTTGGTGAAGATCGAGGTTAAAGCTTCGGTTAGGAATTATCGTGATTCGAGGTAAGTACTATGTCAACCAAGTTTCATGCTTTTCCCATATAAATTTATTTGTGACTAGTTATTTGAGATCATTTGAGTATATGATAGTTAATGAGATTTTACGTATCAATTGTGATTGTGAATTATATATATTCGAGATTTGAGTATTTTTATATTGGGTGATATTTTGAGCATTTGAATTTACATATGAATTGTTATTGGATTGAGATTTGAGATTTGAGCTATTTATGAAGTATCCTATATTTTGGACTATTTATGGTATATTTGAGTATGATGAGTTGGAGTTAATAATTTCATTGTGAATAATTTTGTGGAATTTGGATTTCATATCCATTTTGATTGATGTTATGATACTTGAAATTGAGATTGGATTATGATTTTTGTGAGTACTCGGAGAAATGTGGATTTGGTGAGTGGTAATGGCTATAAGTCTAATTCCACCAGGGATCTCCCAAAAGTGGAGCATCCCAGCTTAATTGTAGTAGTCGGTAGAAAAATCCCGACTACTCGGACTTTTTACTACCCGGAGAGCTTGGAATCTGTTTTAGGGGGTGTGCACACTTAAGGTAGGAGTTCGGCTTCCATTGGATTTGATTGAGTTTGAATGATTGGATTATGTTTGGATTTAATTGGACTTAGATTCCATTGGTATTGAGGTGAATTGGTTTTGAGGCTTTGAGGTGAATTGGTTTTGAGGCTTTGAGGTGATTTGGATTATTTGGTTGGACTTAATTGGGGTGAATTGAATTATATTATATTGGATTATTTGAGTGTGTTATATTTTTTGGATTGGGTTGAATTTGAGGTGGTTAAGGTTATTAAATTATTTATGGATTTCCAAAGTAATACTTTTGGATTTGATTAAATACCTATATTTGGAATATTATTATTTTACATGTGATTTGTGATGAGAAGTTTGTATAAAGTGTTTCATAAGATTTCCTTCCAAATATTTTCACAAAATGATATATATGTATCAAACATGATTATTTTACAGGGTTGGGTGGGCCTTACTTAGCATTTCCAGCTAATTTTTGTTTTTTTGTGTTTTTCTTTCTGTACTTTATTTGTGCAGGAATTGAGGATCATATTGAAGTTGATTTTGAGAGCTTCCGCTAGAAGACATAGACTAAAGTGATTGAGTAATTTATTTTAGTCTTAATTTTAAAGAATTGTAGTTGAACAATTAAATATGGAAAATTTTAATTTGTTAGTGGTGGATAGCCTGTGCACCCGGTTATGTGAGAGCCGAGTGTGGCGGTAACGCCCCTGTTTCCCTTTGAATTTTCCGTTGCAAGACTCTGATGTTTTCGAATAAATCATTATTTACTTTGAATAAATCATTATTCAAATATATTTTTGGGTGGGAAATTTGGGGGTGTTACAAGTACGTAGTTTCATCAATATTCAGATTGTGGAGAAGAAAGATGGATTCGATTTTGAACTGTTATCTTCTTTTTCTTGTTGTTGCAAGTTGCAACGATGTCGCACTGAAAGCTCACAACTCAGATTGTGGAGAAGAAAGTGGGATGGTGCAGCCATCGTGCAGGCCCTCCGTTCAAATACCCACTGCAGCCCCCTTTGGCCGCCGCCGCTGCAGCTTCTGGGTTTGTTCAGATTTAGCGAAAATCGGACTGAAACAACTTGCTGGTGTGGAGATGAACAAGAATATTGAGCAATGAGCCTAGAGAGTAGCGGTGGGGAATTGAAGATAGAATGCCGCGTAACTAGAGAAGTGGTAAGATGGAGTGTTTTAATCTAAGCCATTGATATAAAATTTTAAATCCTACGGATGAGGTGGATAGTTTGCATGTTAGAAAAGTTTTTATGGTGAGGAGAGTTTCCATGTGAACCTCCCCCTATATATATATACTAGTTATTCATACGCGCGTTGCGCGATTAGCTAAATGCCCAATATAATTTTTATCAAAATATGTACTCCATGTATTTTATATTTTGATTCGAAATTATTTTTATGATCATTTGTCATATAAAAATTTAGAGAATGACAATTTGTTGTGTGAAATAGTCATCACAATTTAGTGGATGTTGTATGATAAAATACCTAATCATACAAAAAAGAACACATAGAACACCTAAACAACAAAAAAGAAAAAGTCACTTAATCAACAAAAAAGATTTCTTTTGCAGAATAAATAAAAGGAAATTTATTGTGTTCAAGGAGGTTGTTGTTAAGCACACCGTCTTTAGGCTGCTATACTTGTTTGTGGGGTTGTATGTCTCTGATATTGTCCATACGCACTTAACAAAGCTCTTTGCGGTTGGACGACTAAACATTGTTTAAGGTGGGATCCATCAGTTAATTTCAGTCATTTCTAAGTATCAATAGGGTTATTTTTGTCACAATACTTTACTTATGAATAGTAGGTGTATAACTCTTGAGTTTTTGTCGCTACATTCGGGCAAGCCCCTATTTTTATCGCTCTGTAGACGTCCATGAGTTTTAGTGATGGCTTGGTGTTTACTATGTTTCTCACGAGACGACAATGAGTTAAGGTAGTTTCTCTAGTCATGTTTCATGCAATGTTACTGTTTTAACATCAACATGCATAACTTCAAATGACGGAACTTGAACGAGATATAGTGCTGAAATGGAGATACTCAAATACTATATTCTTATTCTTAGGCTGATTCTGGCCAGTTCAGGATTCATGTTATTTCAAGATGTCCAGATTCCAGAACAATCTGAAATTGTTGATGAAACTTCAGGTATAGTTTGCTTTTGTGAACTTGTGGTCCTTTCACACGCTTTAGTCTTTTTTGGGCAATTTTGTATATGTAGTTCTAATTTTTTATACTTTCTTTACCACTTAATCAGAAATTCTCACCTTGCCAATTCTAACTTGTACACTATAACACGTTGCTCCACTTGAAGAGTTGAGGCTTTTGCTAAGAAGTAGTTATATTCACGTGGCCTCACTTTTTCTAGATGCTATGTGATTAAGTATAGCTATTCTTAAGCTGATTCAAAATACTTGAGGTAAAATAAAGCTTTTTAACTTACTAATGATTAACACCTTTAAGTTCCTCCTTTTGTTTGTTTCCCTTGTCCAATCAAGTCCCTCATACAAAAAAAACCCAATAGTTGCAAGTATGAACTGATAAATGATTCAATAACATTTTACGCATTGCACAAAATGCCCAAGTTTTCCTTGTAAGAGCACTCAAGCATATCCATAAAACTCTGGATCTCTATTCATTCCATCATGCTGCCCACTTCCTTCCCCAATCTCCCCTGCCCCTATGATGCTCCAGCACAAAAGTTTAGGTAAAAGCTT